ACTTGAATACATTACAGACGTGGGTTTGTATTGTACAGCACCACCTACCTAAGAAATCGCAAAGGAAACATTAAACAAGCGGTTCAAAATTAAACTCTTCAAATAAAAGAAATAACCGCTACAGCCTCTCAGATTTAGAGATAATAATAATATGGATAACGGCGATACTTAACGGTTTAAGAAAAGGAATTCCACTTCACCCTTTAACAGCTTTGATAAAAACGACTAATCTTAGGAGTCCGGTTGATTAACTTAAGAAAAAAATGGACGTTTGAGCAGTTCAAGAAAGAATAAAAATTTGTTGGGCTATAAATTAACCGGGCCCCGAGGGCGAGCCTCGCAATCTGCATTAGCCGAGACGCACTTCTCTCCGGCGATTAAATGAAATTTCACGGCCGGTTGCCTACGGAAACTCACTGGACAAAGGTCTGGGATATTTAAATTGAATGCTTTTAATCCGGCCAACTCCCCCACTTTTTTTTCTTAAGATAGGATTTTGCTTTAGTATGCGGCGTCTTCGAATTCAAAGTTCTTTTTAAATACAATTTTCTCTCCTTCGATAAAATAGTGGCCTGTGTGCTACCTACTCCTCTTAAATGTGGACGCGATAACTTACAAATGTTTTCATGTCTGACAGCACAATGATGACTAGAAAACTTCTATCTTGCCTTCTTACTTAATTCTCTCTCTAGCAGATATCTCTCCCACATCTTCTGTACCATAAAAAGCTTCAAACCGCAATAATGTTCAATCAATTTCAGTTTTATCTTCATGCAAACTGATTTTTTTAATCTGAATTTACTAATCTTTTAATTGATAAAACATAAACGTTTATCAATCCTCTGACACGCCTGTCATAAAACGGTTTCATTGGGTACAAGATAATTACAAAATACATAGATACAAGGTTTATAGATTTTCAAGTTTAAATAAGATTGAATCAATAATTATAATTTCATCGATTTATCGAGAGGCTCGTCTCGGTTTACGTATCGCAATCGGAGGTACCGGTGGAGGTAGTCCCTTCCGCACTAATCGAGCAATTTCTCCCATGTTATTAAAGGAAAATGGGAATGTTCGCAGGCCGTTGCGTTCTCAGAACAGAGTTTCTTATAGACGGTATTGAATTTTTAAACAAATTTTTCGACCCGCCGCCCAAGCCCAGAAATCCACTTTATGTTATAGGATTAGAACGTTATTACACCATTAAACCTTCATGAATAATTTTCCCTCCATAGTTTTTACACTAGATTACATTTTCTTAATTTTTACGACCCAAAGCCGTTGAAAAACTTTGAAAGGAAAAAGGAAAAACATCACATTGGAAACCATTTACTTACAGTGTGATGGCTAATATCAAAAGGAAAATTCGTCATGTAGGTAAGTAATATACCTATTTATTAAGTAGATAGGATTTTTAACAACGTGTTCTCTTGACTTGTTTGTGGTAAAATGTAATTATTTTTATAAAAACATCCTCCCTCATTTTGTTTGCATCAAGTATAAAGTATATGATGCGCACGGTAGTTCACGTGTAGCTATGAAGTAGGTACGACCCGTACGACAAATGTCACTATACAACATTCCGCAACTTCGCATAGAATATTTATTTTGAGTATACTTTTAATTTCTAGATCATCGTCTATCTTAGTAACTTTAAAGTCGGTTCAGTCATAGTAATGTAAAGCGTCGCAAGCGGACAGACAGCCATTTTTTACATTTTATGGTATTAGAATCACCACTACTTTAGTATCAAACATTTATTTCTTTATTTATTTACACTTTTTGCACAATGGGTATACAATGGCGGACTTAATGCCTAGTGGCATTTCCTAACAGTCAACCTTAGGGTGATGCAGAGAGACACAATAGTAGGTGTAAAAGTTTAACATTGTTGTGAGTTTTTGAACATAATTTGATATGTAGATATATATAATTATACATGTCACATAATATATACTAATTAAATATAATGAAGAAATATCACAATAAATACGTAATGCACAACGAACAGTAGACAAATAAGTGTGGGACATACAAACATAATTAAACACATATAAATACATTAATACTTACATGACCTAAGTGTGTGTTGAGTCTGCTAGCTTCTTCCGTAGATGCTGACGAACCCGACAGATGACTGGTCGCCATCCTGATATCCGTTGGCAGCGCATTCCACAGCAAGATAGATTGGACGAAAAAATAAGAGTCAAGGAAGTCAGTTCGATGTGTGGTTCGACAATGCAGCAGAAAATTATTAGAAGAATGGAGGTATTTGCTGTGGTTAGCGCTTATATACTGAAAATTTGTTAACTGTGACCACCACCATCAAGTAGGCCGTGTGCTTTTCTTGCCAACACAGTGCTATAAAAAAAAGTAGGAGAATTGGGAGAATTAAGAAGGGAGAATAAAATGGTTAGCGCGCGTTGTTCCCTGCGCTGACGTATGGGCAACCATTTTAGTTGCAATCGAAATGCCGAGACATGGTCGTATTCGCGAAGGTTGAAGACGAATCGAATGCAGTAATGCAAATATGTAGGTACTTAGACTTTTAGCAGAAATACAGTCACGTGTAAGTGTCTCCAGTTTACATTATCTTAATTAGGTAGGGACTGTGCTAGCGACCACTTTTACAGGAGCGAGTTGGTATCCAGTTTAAGCAAAAAAACATTTAATTGGATTAAAAAGGACCACAAAGACAAAGCCTAGAAACATTAAAGACGTTTAAAAAATACGATACAACAAAAGATATTTCCCAAGGGTCACGTTAATGTTCCGGTGCCGGCGTGGGCCATTCGACCGAATCTCTAGAAATTAAGGCAGGGGAAAAAAGTCAATAAATCCAAGAAGCAAGCTGGAACAGATAACGAATGTCTCCGGTAAAGACACGACGCTACGCAGCCTCGTTTCACCCATACTCATGTGACACTAAGTCCTTATACGACCCGAAACAACCAGTTTTGGATTTTTGTTCGCGTAAGCACCTAGTTTATTGAGAGATTTTATGTAGAATGGTCCAATTTAAATCTTTTGTGAATTGGCCAATTGACAGCCAATTAAAAAACTTTTTCAAATAGATTTACCTACATAAACTCCATTCTACGCATCCTCAGCTCTGCACATATGCTGCACTGCTGTGACTGATCAAAGGTAACTGATTACAGAGCACCCTATGACGATTTTTTTATGACAAACGAGGAATCAGATTACCTGATAGTGGGCATCACCTCATGCTATGCCAGGATGCTCACTCACTCACAACCACAACCGGCAACAAAACACTATTTATAAATTAAACTATTTTAGTTCAAGTTTGAAATTCTAACTCTATAAATATTGGACTACACGTATGCAAAGGCAGAAAAATATTTTCATCTAAATTGCTGTTTTCGAATCATTGCTTGCGGAAATCGTATATCACTTGAAGGTGGTAGCCGCCCCTCCTAGATAAATGTTATAGTAAATATCCTTTTCGTGGCTTAAATAGACATTATTTGCACTATTGTAGCATTATTTGCAACAGATTAAGGTAACTAATTAATTAAACGTTCCAGCTGATTTAAAAATGTTTAGTTAAGAATTTATTTGCACTTTAATCTGTTCGGTTTAAAGCTAAGTCGTATTAAATATTTTTACTGTTTGTATTATTTGCGGTGTATGATGGTATATGCATTGTATCTGTTATTAAAACGCATCAAGCATAAACTATTTCTTTAAAGCTACTCGCTTTTCCTATCCTAGATCTCAGTCTCCGTAAACGATAAATAAACTTGTGTGAATGTCGTTTCTAAGCCTACTAAGAAGGTAAGTCTTTTAATTATAATTTTAAGGGGGAAAGTTGCAGCACACAGTCTGTCCGCATGCCGAACGCACCGCGCAATCTACTACTGGAAGTTGGTCAACTAATCCAAGTTTTCCTTTACTGGCTAATGAGACGAGTTTGATTCGAATTCCCGCCGCGCTGGGGAATAGCCACCCTCTTTGAATAGCTCCTAGTTCGCGACTACTACTTATGGACGAGCAAATAAGAATCTCATTTTTTTTATAAATAGAAATATGGTGTTATTTTTGTATAGTATTGTACCTCTGTAGATACTTTTAAATAATTTATTAGAATCGAATATAATAGTTGGGCATGTTCATACTGTTAGAAAAAAATCTCTTTACAAGATTATAGTAATCGGGCATTGAAATCTTTAAAAATTGTCCAGCGGAAAATGTCAATCGCACTACAAGCTATAAACAGGTTGATAAAAACCAGATACAATCTCCAGCACTATAAGTAGGTAAATAACAACAAACACAAAAAAAAACATATTTTATCTCCACTTAAAATAGAAGCAAATAAAAATACATAAAGATTTACTTAGATGAAACAGAGATTCTCGCCAAGCTTATTGGACTGCTCGTAGATAAACAAAGCGTCTGGCCTCCGTAATGGAAATTACATACCCCCGAGGTCGGAAATCAAATTGACAGAAGAGGTTAAACAAACGATGCGGTCAGGGAGCCGAGACCGTAGTCCGTCGAATATTAATCGCTTAGTAAATGCGCTTTTATTTGTTTTTCCCTTAGCGGCTTTATACTGGTAGTGTGAATAAGTGACAATCTCAAATGAACCGAGAACAACTTTGTTACGAACTTTTTCTATTTCTATTTTATACTTAGGTACTTTTATCTGGAACTTCAACAGACCGCCTCATTGGTCCAGTGGTGACTAGCATTCTAGTGAAAAATAGTTCTTATCCCACGTGTTAGCTATCTATCAGTCATAAATATGCTATAACTCATTTCTGTAGTCGATACCTGTCAATACCCTTAAGCTTTAACCGCTTTAGTAAAACTGTATGCTTATTAGGAAGAATATACAAATCATAGTCTACTAAATAACAAGATGTATTAAGAATGTATGTCAAAATCATTAAGTACAATACTTAACTATGAAATGAAATAAAATTGTAACGCATGTGATGAAGATGTCTGATACATCCTCATCGCGGTTAATCGCTACCACTATTGTAGCTGCCTTCTTCTACAGATGAATATACGGTCGCGGTCTCACTGTCAACCAAAACCGGTATAAACGCTTTGTCAATAACATTCTCTTGAAGGAACTTTTTGCAATATGGAACCAGCTGAAAGAAGAATTAATTAAAAGTTTTTTAAAGGATGGTAATACGTACCTACATGATTGTACTCTACAAGCTCTAATTATTCATGTCTACCTCGTTTAGTCGTCTGATTGAAACATCAAAGTGGGATAGCGGATCGCATTAGGACCTCCTTACTCCTCCTCCTAATGCTCATCCTGTATCTAATGATTAGGTACAGAATAAACAAAGTAATATCTGGATTTACAATTTCACAATCCAAGCCAGTGTTAGATATTAAACAACTTTTTAAAACTCAAAATCTTAATAAATGTATCATTTGCTCATTAAGATCAAGGTAGCAAGAAGCAGTTCTGAATAATTTTCTCACTTTTTGATGATGTTCCACTGCTGCCGTGTTAATCCTTTTAATTTCATGTCTTAGATGGCTAGACTCCTCATATTTGAAATCGATAGACCAATCATTCTCAGTTATGATCAGAGGTAGCACATAAGGTAGACCTGTAACACGAGTAGAGTACAAAAACTTCACAATATTCTTAAAAAAAAAACTTTAATTTACCGCGGAAAATTAAATAGAAATTTTCACCACTCATCATTAGCTGTCAGAGGCTACAGGCCATTTCTGAACCGGTCTCCTCTAAAATAAACCTTTCACCATGATTTTTTTTTTCGATTTACGAATGAATGTGGTCGACGACATCTGCGATAGGTGCAGGAGTTGTGATAAATACTTAAATACATTACGGTTTATTTATTCAGGCCTAGCTAGAGCCGGCGACTTTATCCGCGTAGAATATGATTCCTGTTTCATCCCATAGGAGCATTTAATTGGGATAAAATTCTATCATCCAGCCCATACTCGTTTCAAAATTTCATCAAAATCCGATGAGTAGAAAAAATAACAAATTTTATGTAATATTATTTTACCTTTAACCGTGCCCAATGAACCATCGCTGATCACTCCAATACTAGTACTTGAAGTTCTTGCGTTGTTATCAATACTACGCGGCAACCAAACGGCATTCATTGTTCTAGACATTTCTGCTGCTTTGAAGATACAGCCATAAGGGTTAGCCTCGGAGAAGGCTACCATCTTATAAGAAAATGATATTGTTTATTTTTATTCATTATTTTTATTTTGAAGTTATTTTTGTAAATAGGCTACAAAGCAGTACATGTAATTTTATTAAAACGACGAAATAGATTACACTCGCATTTCGCACTCGCTCTAACGGACTACTCTGAGAAGAAATGCCGAAACAAACTCAGAGATAGAAGAGATAGAAGAAGAAGAAGTCCAGACAAATATAAAAAAATATATGTAGGAATCGTGCAAGTTCGTTCTGTAGTGGCCTTTTGAGGAAAGAAGTAAAGAACCACAACAGTTTGAGCGGACCCGATCTGACGGTAGTACGCATGTGTCGGACAATCAATTCAATTAACAGGTGTGACTGACTGATCTGACGAACCATCAAACCAAAAGAACGTTTATGTGGATAACACAAATACTCAAACTGTCGGATCAACTTTTTCATAAATGATCTTAATTAAGGACTAGGTACATTTCCTCCAATCTACATAGGCAACCTTGTAATGGTATCACTAACTACTCAATTGTGGTTTGAGGTAAGTAAGTTGAGGTGGTTTATTCTAGCTATATTCTTGCATAATAGGCTTTCTTTTTTTGAAGGGGGAAAATCATCAAAGGCCTTCTCTCGCCCTATCTGTGGTCGTCTGATGGCTCTAAGAGGCGCGCGCGGAACGCGGTGCGCCGTACGCTCGGGTCTGGTTCTGGTCGGGCGATAAGTCACCCGTGCTCGTCGTCCGCAGGCCCGTGCTTACGGTGACCGGCGATCGTCTCGCGATTCCCGACGCCCAGAGTGTCTCTCGCGACGGCTAGGGCGTAAAGAGGTTCGTCGCCCCATGCGCCCCACCTCCTCCTTAGCTAGCATGACTGCTTCGCAGAAGGAGGAGACGGCATCCTATTTCCCCTCGCTCCGTACCATAATAGTCTGAACTAGAGCCGGACGCGAGAAATTGTCGTCGCCGATCACATCCCTGAGGACACAGTAGAGCTCAGCCCACGCAGGGCACACCGCCACCGTATACTCCACCGTGTCCTCTGGGCGGAGCTATAATAGGCTACGCACTGCACGAAGTGCTCAAAGCGAATAAGAAAAATGTCAAATGATCAACCTTTTCGATGAACTCTCTCTTCATCCAAGACGCATTAAAGTTAATATGTTCCAAACCCAGTGACTCCAACATTTCTGGGGACATAGCATTCCATTCACACCAATGTTCTGGAGATATTTTGTCTCCCTTAAGAAAAGGCACTGCAATTTCCGCGTGAAACACTGTATCGTTAGCTGCCCAAACATAAGCTTGATTGAGGTCGCAACATTTCACCTTAAATGTATGAGTAAATATTGCAATTAGGTATGCATGTAAGCAATTCATACTCCATGTAGCGTAAAGGTAACAGGAGAGTTAGTAGAAGAGGAAGGTTTCTTCCGGTCATGGAAGTCTTACCCTAAGAGATGAGGACAAGATGTTGATCCAGTCTACCACTTATTTAGTTGGACACTTGGACAGTAATCAAACGGCTTATAATAATAATGCAGTTAAGCAAGACATAATACAGACGTATAACACGAGCAAGATCTAGATAAGTAAAAGGTCATGGATAAATAATGCCAACCTTTAAAAATTCACTCAAAGTAATTTTTGCAATAGATCTTAAAGGTGTTGTGGCGAACAACATATCTTGGGGCAATGTTTTTGCCACAATCATCAGAATATCTAGAACCAATAAACCATCAGCAAGTATTATAGGTTTTCTGGGTTGTATTGTCTCTCCCGTGTCCTCATCGACAGCTGGTTCATCTGGTCCCTTAACTGTTGGCGCTTTTGCTAAATTTGTAGCTATTTTTATAATCAAGTAGAAATTATCGAACTGTTCATTTGCTTTCTCTTTATCTAAATCATCATCCTCCTTGAAGTCAAATTTGTTAGGATTTTCAAAATTTGTCATGAAACAAAACACATCAGCGTCTGCAAGACTATAAATCAAAATTAATAATTTCAAAGCTACCAATTTTGTTCCAAATTAGGTACTTCAACATAATTTCTTCCATATCTCAACTTGCCTTGGTAAATCCGAAGTTACACTAACGCTGTTGTAACATGGAAAAGCACAAGCAATCAATTCTTGTCCTAAATCGTTCGCAGCATCAATTTCATTCGCATAAACTAATAATATCAAATCAACTAATTGACTTCTTCCAAAACTTACTCCCGATAGTATTTTAGTGATTAGTAGTTGTGACGCTGGAATCAATGGATTTATCATCATGACTCTCACAGGTGGACTAAATTTGATCGTTTGAAAATTCATTTTTACACGTGTATTAAATTAATCACTATGCACAATTAAATAAAAAAATATTCGAGATTCCTATAGTAATATTTGACATGAATGACAAAAAGTTTCTTTTTCATAAGTTTATAAACTCTTTTCAAAAATAAACTATTATTGAAGATAAAAAGCGACAAATAAACAAAATGAATCTAAAGCAATAGTTTAACGAACTGTGTTTTCCATGTCGATAACATGTAAATTATTCTAATGATAATTAAAATCGAAATTAAAATCCTGAAATAGTATCCTATTTTCATAAACTTAAAATAATGTTATAGCGACACCTATGTAACGAAGCAAGTACCATGAAGTCAGGGCAAGTAGGCAGAGAAACTGCTTCTTATTGAGGAATGACATGAAAAAATTTCTATAGTTAACTATTATAGCTAAATGCAGTCCGCGGCACGAACCATCACCAGATATTTTAACGTGGGGTTAATTCGTGTATTTTCTGATTATTATTTCTCATCTTGAAACAGAAAGATTTTTGGTATCTATGGTGGCCTTCAAACTTAATAACATTTTGACTTTGACAACTAAATTGAGTAAATTGACAGTAATGTCATGTGACATAACATTGACGCGTTTACTTTTTGTTGTATTTTGCTCGAAATGTGGGATGTTTCAGTGATAAATTGTGTTTAAATAAAAAATATGGCTTCCTCTAAAGAAAAAGATGTTGATGTTTCACCGGCTACATCAACAACTTCAGTGAAATCTCAGTTCTTTGATAGATCTCCGTCCGTTTCATCGTCAAGGGAGGATAAATGGCCGGAACTCTTGTTATCCAGGCCGTACAAGTCCTATTACTACAGTTCGAAGAGTAAGTACCAATATTTTATGTAAATAGAATAGCAACACAGTGAAAACTTATAAGAAAATCTGCGAAACTGTTTTAATTTATTGTAGTCTGTGCTTATGTGTGCCAGATTATATTATTATGTTTGTGTGTTGTTGCGGATATCACGTCGCGTGACCGCTACATTGATAAAAGTAACAGGCACTTTAATTCGACATACAAACAATGATAGCATTTTTTATACACAACTAAACTGTATTCATCCTGCAATAATCAGTAAAGTTTATTATTACGTAAATCATAGTACTACTTTATAGAGAACATTCTAAATGCACTTTGTATTTTACTAGTCGTTAAATTGTACAACATGTAACACAAACATGTACACTGTGGAAATCTTACAAATATTTTAACATAGTGTATTTTTGGAGATTAAGTTAGCTTTAGAATGTATAATTTATTTATATCTACATCATCATCAATTTATTAATTAATTTACAACCTGTTGCTATCTCTACCTATTATCTATTACTATCATAGTAAGAACAATAAGCACATAATATATGTATGTTAAGAACTAATATGAAATAGTACATTATAATGAAAACTCAACTCTCCATCTGGAACAGTAGATCAACCTACAGCAATATGTCAAATTTATAAATTAATAATTATATTTTACTTTATGTCAATACCATAAAGTTGAAGATGTAATAGAGAAATTTGACAGAAAAGGATAGCTTTACCTGCTGATCACTGTACATGACTAGTGTCACAAATACAAATTTATTTATTTGCAAGAATACATATAATATAATACACACATAATTATTTGTGTGTACTATAAATGCAAATGAACATCTGGAATCACAAAAAGCCGCTTGTGACTAATCTTTTAGAAATTTTTCTTATTAGGTATTTCTTTGATATTTCTTGACTTGTAATTACAATCCTTAAATATTCTTTTTTTGTTTGTTGAAAAATCTTTGTTTGTTAAAAAAATCCTTGTGCTACTGATATTGATCATTATAACGAATTATAAATGTAGGTATTACTCATCTGGTAACATAGTTTTTGAACAGCGACAAAACTACCATAATTAATGCAGCATACATTTTGTTAAGGTAACTACTTGCAATAACTACTTATTAACTTAAAATAATGTCTTTACATTTCATACAGTTGTTAACACAACATATTTCATTCCTTTTTTTACCCCATTCTGGTGAAGCAAATTAACTAAGCTTTCTTTGTAATATAACTACTGACAGTTAATAAGACAAAGTATAATATCGGTTTATTCTAGCCTTTCTCAGAAAAAAGGTGGAAAGCAAATTAATAATAGCAATAATTTTATGAGTTTAGATTTTAGGCCACACGTCAGTAAAATTTCACTGAATAAATTAAAATTTGTAAAAAACATTCATGAGAAACAACCCCTCTGTCCTCTGTGGTTCGAAACTAGTAGAGCTTTTCTCAGTATTTTCAAATGAGTAAACCACAATTTTTAGTTAAAAAAATATTATGAATGAGTTCCGCTCTTCATGTAATATACCAAACCTAATAATACATTTCATGTATTTGGATGCTAAGTGCATGGAAACCATACTAATTGTTTTACTGAAAAATAAATTACTTTTATAGCATTTTCAACCTTATGTTAATACTTCTTAGGAGAAAGGTACTAACTAGCTATCTGTCTTTAATGTCAAAATAGAAATATATAAAAGAGAAAATCTTTATCCCCAAGAATACTTTATGTTCCATGCACTGTTATCTACCGAAATAATATCTATCCCTACCAAAACCCATAATATAATAATAAAGAGCCATCAGACCACCACAGATGGGGCACAATAGGGCCGATGCCGATTCGGAGTCGCGGAGAACCTAACGGGTAACCGGGTCTCCGGCTCGACGTGCAGGAGAAGGAACGGGGTGGTTTTTAGTCAGTAAGAGTCTGACACTCCCTTCCGCCTCACCCAGGCGGGAGCAGTCATTCGATGATTTTCCCCCCTTAAAAAAAATAATAATAAAATATCCCTACCAAAAAAAATTAGTTAGTTAATTTTTTGGCAATTAAATTGAAAGTCTCTTTATCTAAAAGGTTTTTATTCACCACTAGACCTGCATTACTTATAATCATAACATCTGTTTTTCTAATCCAGACATTTTTTTCTTTAAAAAAACGTATTTTGTAATTCAATAAAAATTGTTAGGTAATATGAAATACGTAATTTTTAATACATGTAACTTATTAACATGTAACGATTTTCGATAAAGAGGCAGTAACTACAAGTACTGTCAAAGTATTTCTTCCAAACTATTTGTGTGCAAAAAACCAAGCCTTAACTTACTTCACTTTTTTTGACAGCAAATATTTTTCCTCATAAACTTGCAACCACCTAAGCTGTCTGTTTCCTCAGTTGGCCGATAGATGGCAACACGCGCAGAGAGTATTGATTTTCCCATTGTTGTAGGTGGTAAGTAGCGCTTGCCGGGAAATCGATATTTATTCTGGACGTCGGAACTGGAAAAACCATTTCGCTGAGAGTTTTTCGTGGAAATATCTCGTGTTTATAGTTATTATAATAAAGAAAGTTAGAAAATACGAACTTACGCTTCGTTGTTTTGCGATTAACAAGTGAATTGACAAACAATTACTATTTTGACCTTCATAATTGCGCATCGTGTGAAATGATTATAAACGGGTGATCAAAATTTACGTGACGCTGTTGATTGTTTCGCTTGATAGTTTATTTGCTGCTTTATTATGCGTTCGCTTGCCGCGGTTCATGGGGTGGATCCCTTGCCCGAATTAGGCATTCCATCGGCCATTCAACATCAGGGTGACGGCAACCCGGACGGTGATATGGCCGGCGCGCAGGACACTATCTACCTGTGCAATTTCCGCGTATCCGTTGACGGAGAGTGGCTCTGTCTAAAAGAATTACACGATATGGAAATGCAGGATTCATTCCATCGCCCATCTGCCCAAGGCACCATTACATCGCCTGACGATCCGATGAATACTTTGATGGGTAAATTGCGCAGTAACAATACTCTTAGTAGTAGTAATGACAATAAAAACAATTTATTGTCATCTGTTGTAGCACGGGATCCTGTTGTAATCGAACGCAGCAATCTTGTGAACATCTCGAAACTAATCGTGAAGGAGCTGATCGAACAATCTCTCCGCTATGGTAGGATGCTTGACAGTGATCACTTGCCCCTGCACCACTTCTTCATTGTGCTCGAGCATGTTATGCGTCATGGACTCAAACCCAAGAAGGTAATTATTAAAAGACTGACATATTCGTTTGTGTAATAAATTAAAACTAATTTTGTTTTGTGAGATGAGTCATTCTTCACTAAAGAATTCGTATCAAATATTACATATTATACACTCCTTATTTTTGTCAACGTAGTCACGTTGGAGTCTACTTAAATTCCCTGGTGTAAAAACTAAGTCCTTGTTCATAAGTACTATAATAAAATTGAGAATTCTGTTCTTATTTATTAACACTCAAAGTTTCTTTTAGGGATTGCTCGGACCCAAGAAAGAGCTATGGGACATCTTGCAAATGGTTGAGAAATACTCGCCGGAAGCCGCGGACATTACGGCTAGCGTCAGGGACCTCCCCACTGTGAAGTAAGTTCATGTTTTGTCACTGTACTGTCAAAAATACAAATTTGCAAAATACCGCACATCAGATGTATGATAGAGCCTGACAGTGTTAAATTACATCGTAACCATTGCAGGTTTTCTTTCAAATTGGAAATACAATGATAACAATATCATTTTGAATACCATAAAGCATTTGCATTTCCGGTTCTCGAATTTGTTAATACATTAGAACCGTTAGTATTTGTGAAACTTGTTTTAATATAACTTTCAGACACATTAACAACAGGTTTTAAATTAAAAATATATTGAAATTCTTTTGCATAATGTGCACCTCTGCCTACCCCTTCGGGGATAAAAGGCGTGATGTTATGTTATGTTGAAATTCTTTTGTAGGACCGCAATGGGTCGTGCTAGAGCTTGGCTGAGGTTGGCTTTAATGCAAAAACGTCTGGCCGACTATCTTCGTATTCTCTTGGAACACCGTGAAGATACGTTGGAAGAATACTTTGAGCCCCATGCTCTGATGCTCAATGAAGAAGCTGTCATCATTACTGGTCTCCTAGTAGGCCTCAACGTCGTCGATTGCAATTTGTGTGTGAAGGTAACTTGTCAGCATGATATCATAATTAGCTACATACAGGGTACCTTGGGCGTTGAGCATAATATAATGGGCAACACTTACCTCCTAAAACCTTTATATTTTAAGGTTTTATCATATCACATTTAGCTCTTGACCTTATTCGAGAATCTCGCTAATAAAACCAGAATTTTTAACGACTTCAAAAAAAGGAGGTGGTACTATGTTCGAGTGATTGTTTGTTTTCTTATTATAACTTATGATCTCCTACTGGCAGCTAGCCGCTTACATCAATTTTAACTTATTTCCTACTTTCCTTGCAATCAACACAGGAGGAAGATCTAGACAGTCAACAAGGCGTAATAGACTTCTCGCTTTATTTACGCGGCAGTAATTCGTCCAATGACCTAGCCGGCAATGGTAACGGTGATTCAGAACCGAAACAACGCCACATCAACACAATGCTAGACCAGAAGAATTACATCGAGGAGCTCAACAGACATCTCAAGTAAGTTTCGAATCCATTGTTTTACTTTCTCAAGCTAATCTAGTCGTATAATTAGTTCTTTAACGGATAGTTTTCTATTTAAAATTGTTTCGTAAGTGTCTCATTACTAAATTATGTCGTTAATAAAGTTGCTTGAGCTTGGCAAGGCTAAATTATATTTACTTACGTCGTAAGTAGTACCTATACCACGGAAAGAGACAATTATGTAGGTATATGCAATGTTAATGTGGGTTTTATCGCTCGTTCACATTTTTACAGCCTCTATTCAGGTAACTTAGTACACATTAAGTCTCATGGGAAACATGGGATTCTGATATAATATTGTCATGTTTTTTTTAAATATTTAGCTTCCCAATTGTTGGCAATCTTTGTATATAAATAAGTAATATTGTTGAAGGTGAATAAAACACGACAAGGTCATGAGCGAACGTTATAGTTAACCCAGTTCATAGACCCGAACGATTTGAATTGGTAAATACCATTTCTAACTAGGTAGATACTATTAGCTAAGTGGGTACACTACTCCATGTAGTACTCATTTACCTTTCCTCCTTTTGCAGACCATCAATTAGAATATACCTAGGGACTCATAACATAAATAGTGAAAAGTGTGTTACATTGTACAGTGGCATTTAAGTGCCGTAATGTGCACCTCTGCCTACCCCTCCGAGGATAATAGGCGTGATGATATGTTATGTTATGTTAAACTATAAGGTTTTCATAATTCGAGCGGCACATTTTAGTCTATTACTTACCAAATAATATAACTTATAAGTTTTTGTTATAAGTTTTTGTATTAAGTTTTTATTTAAGTTTTTTTTATTAATGTTTATTATAAGTTTTTATATTAAGTGACAACATTATCGCATTGGGTGTAACCTGTCAGGATGTGTTGTTGAATTAAATAAATAAAATAAATAAATAAATAAAAACTTAAGAAGGAGCAATTCTATAACACTAAAAACCATTTATTTTAGTGCAACAGTAGCAAACCTCCAAGCTAAGGTTGAGAGCTTGACTACAACGAATGCATTAATGAAGGAAGACCTGGCAATATCCAAAAACACGATGATTCAATTAGTTGAGGAAAACAATCAACTAAAACATGCTCTCGGTGAGTAGCTGAACAATTGACAAAACATTTTCATTAGTCTATACAATACTCTTTAGATACTAACGCTAAGAATGTTGTACGAATTTAACACGTAGGTTACTTAAATTACTAGTGTCTTCAACGATCGAATACGTAAACATTATTTCCCAAATTGACAAACTTGCCCCGAGCGCGTAATGTTCTTAGTACAATCAACACAAACTTTCAGTAGAGATGGAAGCCATAAAGATTTAATTAATATCAAATTTAACATGTATATTGTTGTAATGTATATTTTTGCTAATCTGCCAAAAATTAGGGCAAGCAAAAGAAGGCGCTTTTTATTTAGGCCATGGAAAAATATTTTTGGTAAAAAAAATCATTATCAATCACCAAACCATCCTTATTATTAGTTACTCAAAACATCAACGATAATAACGGTAGCAAACGGAAGGAAGCCAGTCATGGTCATCAGTATTTAGTAGCGAAAACACCACGCGAATAACAATAATAGAGAATTCAGTAGATAACGACACCTTGCACTAATGAGTCAGCCTCAATTGTATCGCTTAGTAGACATTAGTTCTCCGGCCGGACCTGTCGTCCACGCCGTACATTCTGCCAGTAGTGCCAGTTACTATAAACCCACCGCGCTCAACAGTTATGCGATATAACTCCGCTTTAATGGGCAACTCAACATCAAAAAGTCAAACAAAATCTAATTTTTGGATCAAATCCTGTGAGTTATTTATGTACCAGTGTAAATATATCACGGTGCAGTCTGTGTTTATTTGTATGTTGTCTAAACACGTGTGTATTTTTTGTGCAGGGCAAGACATAACCAAAGACACCAGGATGAAAGTGACGGAATTGCAGTCTGATGAAGAGGTAAGATCAGTTAAACAATTTGTGCTTGTACCTATATTAAACGCAATTATTATACTGTTTACCTTATAATATAACTTTTCCATATCTTGTTTAAACCACGGTATGGGCTACCAATGTAGTTGTGCCAGATTTAATTGTATGTTTTGAATTAATTTACCTGTTTTGTATTACTTTATTTACTGTTACTGTTGTTAAAACTATAATTTCGCAAAATATATTTATCTGCTGATTAACAACGATTCACGTAGTTTCGATGATGTCAGCGATTATCTCTCTAACGATAAGACAATATAATCATTTGTACACACTTTCTTATTTTACAAAACAAAAACAGAAAGTTAGGAATTACTCGTCTAATTAATTTAATAGTATAGTAGTTCCTTAGAAGATTCTCTACAAAATGTTGTCTTTTTTCGGCACCAAAAATAGTGTTACGGCTTCGCGGTCGAAACAAAATGGAAATAGATACAAAACGTGCGAAACGCGCGCGATTTTAAAAATAGAGTCAATAAATTAACTCTCTTCGTTGGTCTCCTAAGCGTCTAAGCACGTGTGACTTTAATTTCCAGGAGAAACGTAGCGTCAAAAGTGTGGCTTCTGATAAATCCAAAAATGATAGCGAGGCAAGCAAAAATTTGGAAGAAGAAAGGAAGAAGTATTTGGAACTGCAAAGGGAACTGGATTTACAGGTATAGTACATACAGTCGTAATTTATACATCTTCAACATTTGCTCAAACTGCGGAGTCAAGGCCGCAACATAATGCCAGTGGCCACAGCCGGGTCACAATAACTTTATTCCATTATGCAATTACCTGTCTGTCTAATAGCTACCGAAATCCATTACATCACCATAATGGCCATAGCGGAAGCTATTCTAAGAAGAAATTTGTCATAAAGCACTTTAATATTTAATCTCCAGATTTCACTCAAAGCAGAAATGGAGGTGGCAATGAAATTGCTAGAGAAAGATATACACGACAAACAAGACACAATAATATCGTTGAGAAGACAACTCGACGACATAAAACTTATCAACCTAGAGATGTACAAAAAATTACAGGTGAGTTATTTACTCTTAGTTCACTAATACGCATGTTGGAACCTATTAGGATTTTGTACCCTTAACTCTATCACTGGTTGACCAATCACTCGCGCTTGTTGCGTCAATCGTTGCTAACGTTTCTTCATTTGTACTTCATGGTCTGTTGATGATCAATAGATAACTGTGACACTCTTACTTTTAACTTGTAAACTAATCCGGTTTTATCCAGTGTTAACAAAGGTTAGCGTTAGGTACCTCGTTGTGTGTACCGTGCAAATGTTATAACAAAGACGATGCCCCGCGAAGGTCGCTCGTCAGGCGTGGGTGCCCATCTAACACTGCTTGATTCCCGCCCATGCATACTCATTATCCCACCAAACTGATTAATGATTAACATGCCTTTTTGTCTCTAAATCATTGTATTGTATTTCTTTATGTTGTTACTTATTTCGCTTATAACTTTGTAAATAATGTATTTATTTATATTCAGTTTCTCTTTAGTTATTTATATATTTGTCTCCTATCTCTTTGTTTATGGTTCACTGACCTCTAATTTGCTACTATATATTATATAACCTATACTAATACCATACTGTATTCACAATGCCGCGGTTGTCGCACGGAAGGAATGCGAGATGGAACTGACGCAGAAGGGCGAAATGGTGTCGAGGCTCCAGGGGAAAGCCGAACAAATTGGCAAAATACTTCACAACCTTGAAAAATATAACCACTTCTTAGGATCCGATAATGACTTAGTTAAAGCTCTCAGGTCTCCTACAACTAACGAAAATAATTTAGGAGAAAAGTTAGAAAAATTGAAAGCTCAAAGTAACGCGCAAAAGGGTACAAAGTCTAAGGATGAAGGCCCGCCTCATAAAAAACTGAATCTTCAGGAAATACCACCGTTCCGTAAGAATACTATGAGAGACAAAACTATCAATCAAATCGCGGAGTAGTCTCCGATGTTAATGCAAATTGTTAGTGTAAAATATAAACGTTTTATTCACAATTCGGGTGGTATTTCCTGTTCCCTAGAAAATTGTTAATTACCTCCTACTAACACATTTTAATGTCATATTATATTGTTATGGTTATGGTGATATTGAGGATAATATAATGGTTATAAAATTATGAAAATTTACATTTACAAAGTGTTTAAACATTCATGCATTACCACTGTATTAGCCTCAGAATAAATTATCTATATGAACTAACAACAGCATCTATCTTATACTAACCTGCTTAGACTAACAAAAATGTTCTCACTTCTGCTCAAATGAGTTGTCATTTTATTCAGCTAAACTGTATTGGCCTTGTTTTAGGAATGTGAAAGTTCCTTGAAACATAAAACTGAGCTAATAGCCAAATTGGAAGCAAAGACTGAATCAATGGGCAGCACCATACATCAACTCGATGAGAAGTAGGTTTTACTAATTTTTACTTTGACATCGCATCAGGCGGGTTCCGACCTGCGATCATCCGCAAGGATCGAAAGAGTGCCTGGATAATATTACGCTGTTGAATGTAAACTAAGCGCTTGACATATCAGTATATCAGTACTCGACCGCACTTAGGTGTGAGCAATGCACAGCTTGCGTGTGTCAACTAGCGGCAACTCTTTCCATTCGCTCGATATTGGCAAACCCTCACAATGAACTAGTGAATGCAAAAATCAGTATTTTGATATTATATTACAAATGATTCGATGATGACGATCATTGTTAAACTTAATGCTACTGTTGCTTTTGCTTACTTGCTGTGATTCGTATAAATATTCAACTGTAACGTTATGTTAATTCAGACCAAGTTTGTGTTAGGTTTCATCGTTGATTTTTAACTATTAATTTATTTTAATGTGTTAATAAATTGAACTCCACAAAACATTACTTTAATTATTAGGTATATTGTTAAGTAAGACTATGTTAAATTGATATTTGTTAATTATTATTTTCGATTTAAAACAGATTAAGGTCTCATTTTTTTATATTTATGTAACATTAACTAATAAAGTACCTGTATTAGTAGAATAGTGAGAGCGTGAGGATTTGGTAGTGCTATTGAAGAGATTGGTATTTTGTATACTTTTCGAATAATTATTATCAAGTTACATTGTATAGAGTTTGACTACTTTGGAAGGGTATTTGATCTCATTTGATTGGAGTAGCTACTTGTGCTTGGAGACTTGAATTTCTATAATTGTATACAATAATGTGCTCGTTATTATCTAGCAGCAATGTTAATTAAAACCATAATTTAGATAATTATTTTCTTTAATAGTTTTGTAATTACGAGGCGGTAGATGTGTAATAAATAATAGCCTTATTTATAATAAAGCATATTCAGTCGCAATTTGTATTTTATTGAACTTGAAATCCAAGGAGTTTGCTTGTTTTAATTTTGTGTTTATTGTGTAGGTTTGCCATTATCAGTATCATCCCTATCACCTGTTTGCATGCTTTGTGTGACTAAACAATACCTTTTGTGATAAATGTTAACATACTAAGTGTACATTCCTTGAAACAGAAAAACTATAAGTAAATATTAATCGATTATTACGTCACTATTACTTGTCAGTCAAATCAATGAAATCTTACTGAAATTTATTTTTGTTTGCGTAGATTATGAGTTGTCTTTTTATTTTTACTTATCAATTTAATGATTAAACCAGTCAAGTGTCAGATTGTCTGACTCATAGAAGAATGTATACTTGACACATAAAAACCCCGATGGACGTAAGATAAAGCAGTGACAAATATTGATAGAGCTGTGAGCTACAAAAAACAAGCAGCATTCATAACAGATGCGGATCAAAAGGGGTGCACTGGGTCCTAATACTGCACAAGTTTAACAATACAGACTCCTAAAACGTACAAATCGTCATATAGTGGTATCACTGCACTTTTAATGAAATAAATTAATCACACATTAACTTAAACGGGTAGCCGTTTAGAAGATGACCCTACGACTTATACCGATTCCAGGATTTGGGTCTTCTGTTTGATATTCTATGAAACACAAATAGAATAAAATAATTTAAGTAGATACACTTTAGAATTTGATAGCACCATCCACATAGTTTTTAGAGCTTCAAGTTCGGAGCTCTAAATGGTTTAATGATTTATAAACACTGACACGAACCGGAACCCCTGTATAGAAATACATTCATCATGCTATAAAGACTCTGCTGACTAGCACCCCTTCCGCACATACTGGCCTCTCTAGATCTGAGGAAGCGTTAACTTCCAAGAATATAAATCTTCAACTTAAACAAAAGTTTTATAACATGATAGATATATAAACCACTTTGTCCGCCTTTAACACTCTGCCAATAACAGCCAAAGACACTGCTAATAACACAGATATTTATAAAATAACACTTGAACCAAATGAACTTATGTTAAAGTAATGTACACACTGAATAGGTTGCAAGAAGATAAGTTAGCTAGGAAGAATTTAGAAGACAGTGCTCGCTCACTGGGACAGAAGGCTGCCGCCGCGGAAACCAGGGCTGTAGCGGCAGAAGGAGACCTCAGAATTGAACGAGAATGGAGGGTGTCCTTACAAGTGAGTATTATTTTTTCTAATATTCGAGTCGATATTATCCTACAGAATACAACCAGTCAATCGGTCAACTGAACATATAAGTTTTGACCTTGAACTTGAACCTGGACCTTTAAATAGAAGTTTTGTCATTATCCCTTCGCTTAGCAAGACGTTTGAGGTTGTAGTTAGGTCACCAAAAGTTTAGAAGATGTTGCTAACCACCTCCGGTGGCTAGTCTTAATTCATTTATGGCGTCTAGGGTTCAGCTTTTGATACACTAAAGTAACTATCTATTTATGCCAAACGTTCAATAAAATTGTAAATCTAGTATACCTAAAAATAGTCTGTATGAAATTGCGCATCATTGCATGATACAAAACCGCAATATACTTACAGTCTTACACTATAGCAATATATGATTCATGAAGTCATTATCATAAAATATAGCGGCCGTGACGTACTCTGCCGTACAGTACGTATTCTAAACCATGTAATCCCATTGTACATAATAAAATAACATCTTCGTCCACTTCAAATGACGTCGGCATTATAGAACAGATTTTCTTTATACATCGTCTTTGGTAGTATAACTACCGTAATGGAATTCTTGGTTTGATCCCTGTGTCGGGGATTATATTATTATTGGTCATCTAAATTATCAAAGTCCCAAAATTGTACCTAATTGGTTTGGCAATGAACTCACCTTCTATTAGGGTATGTGACTCTTAACAAAACTGGAAAACTGGGTAATACGTCCTTTCTGTTTATGTGAATATAACGCACATTAACTATGATTTTCCTTATAAATGCAGTTTATTAATGATTGTTATTAATGGCTTATAGGAATCAATGATGCGGGACCGCGATAAGATATCGATGTTGACACAAGAAGTGGAGTCTCTCAAATCAATAGGACAGGTAAATAACATACAATACCTATTTATATATTAACTATAATAATAATATTATTGTTTGGTGTCTTTTATGTGTGATTCGAGTATATGTGTTTATTTCTTGGGTGATTTCCCTTAGTCTAGCAATACGTATTGAGTTTTCAATTATAAGATTCTGATTACCTTATAAAGAATTTGGGATTTTGTCTGATGTATGTGTCAAAACACATTCGACCTACATACATCATCATACAAATATGATGATGTATGTTCGTTTCTTTTTAATTGGTATAGTATGAAACCAAAATATAACAAAAAACCAAATAACAAACGTTCGTTTAGGCTCACTCCTAATACGCAGGACTCAGATACATGCATGACATTTATTAGAGTACCTCTACCGGTCCCCGAGCATTGAATAATTCGGGGAATAAAACCGTGATGGTATGAAGTTATATTATATTAGTAAATTGAAGTACATACTTCACCATATCTGGCATTCGGTCAGGTATCAATAAACAATAATATAAATTACTAAGGACAAACATGCCAACATAATGTCTTTGTTGTAAGACCCTGTGATTGGTTGCTATTGTTTTTAAGCGTAAAACCCCAACACCTTATTTAGAGCGTGTGGTTTATTATGTGAGAATATCTTATATTCGTTTTTAAAGGCGACGTAATGATTAATCAATCATGCTTAACAGACTTCGTATGCATTAGAATTAAAATTATTACCTACTACCTTTAATCGGGATAAAAAGTATCCTATGACCTAAGTCAGCCCATACCCTGCCTTTTTACCAAATTCGTTCAGCGCGATTGACGGGTAAACATCCAAACAAAAAAACTTTCACATTTATAATATTAATTACTATGCTTATATTATGTTACTATCATTACAGAAATACCTCTCACTGCAAGAAGAACAGCATGTATTAAAGACTCAATACGTGGAAGCGCAGAAGACGCTAGAAGAAGTAGGGGCGACACTGAGCGAGAACAAACTACAACTAGCGGAGTTGTTAGAAAAGGAGGCACAAGCACAAAATGTTGAGGAGCCCCCAACATGGACGCATGATAAAGACGCCACCGCTTGTACTGCGTGTGCCAAAGAATTCTCTATTGCTAGGCGGAAAGTAAGTTTTATTAACTTATATATATACTTACACAAACTACTCAAGGCAAAGAACTTCAGTATTTATTGGTCATACCATCATGGGCTATATTCTTATACGCAGCAAATAATTTGCGTAAAAAAATGAAAAATAATTACTTCAAGTTTACACAGTAATAGTATATAGAGTATTTATTTAAAAAAAAATTATTTATAACTGCCTCGTTGGCCGAGTGGTCGCAAGTGCGACTGCCGGGCAAGGGATCTCGGGTTCGATTCCCGGGTCGGGAAAAGTATTACTGAATTTTTAAAAAGTCTCAGTAATACTATGGAGTCTGGAATTGTGCCCGGTATATGGCAATAGGCTCACCCCTTATTACGTGGGACTTATAACATAAATAGTGGAAAGTGGGTGTTACTTCTGTGTGCACCTCTGCTTACCCCTTCGGGGATAATAGGCGTAATGTTATGTGTGATGTTATGTATATTTATAAAATACACTGTTTCATAATACTTATGAATTCCCTTTCCGTTTTTTCAGCACCATTGCCGTCGGTGTGGCCATATATTCTGCGCATCGTGCAGCGACAAAACAGTCGCGTTAGCTGGCAACACCAAACCTGTGAGAGTATGCGACGCGTGTTACGCTGAAGTGAGACTAACGTAGCTAATACAATTATTGTAGTATAGATTAATATATTATTAGAATTGATCAAATTGACCAACATACATCGATAAAACTTAAAATGATCTAACAATGGTAGGGAATCCGTAACGAAATTTTTGAACAATAACTAAAGAGTACGCAATCAAATATTTAATTCCACTTTACTAGTACAGTGACGCACTAAACAACCAGACTATACAAGTAATAATTGACAACAGAATGTAATTTATTAAATATTTTTATGACCGTCAAATTTAGGTGTCCTTATGTTCGTGTTATGGCGGGAATTTAAGCCTTTGTGTGCGAATTGTGCGATACACAAGAAAGTACACACATCCATCATCTCTATTCTGTACACGAAACTATTACGTGTCAAATATTTGTAAGAAACTATGTTAAGAAGACAGGAATTTTAAATGAACGATCTATAACTGCCATAAAATAAAATGAATTGGTCAATTTGAACGTGTCCTTAACAGAGTTCGTATGTTGTTTATTTTTATTATTATACGTACGATAAATAAGGAAGTCAACCGAGATTTTTATAATTGTTTGTTGACCACAGCAAGTTTTTAAGACTGACGTTAAACTTCAGTAGGTGAATCGTTGTCGGTATACTAAGTGGGTAGGGGTACAACATTAAATAAATGTATCAATATGAAAAACTAGGAAACATCTGGATAGAGGTATGCAAATCTCGTGGGAGACATAGGTAATTAATAATGTACTAGAAAAAACACTCAATGCGCCCTTAACCAACGTACTTGTATGACGTGGTGCATGAATGTGACAGAAACTAAAGTAGGTATATAAGAATCGTAGATTTCTTTGGATCTTTCAACTTGATTAGGCCATTTTAGAACACTCTTCAGTTTTTGTCACCATGACACCTTTCTACTATCATACCTATTCGTAATGAGTGTTTAATGCTGTATCCATTCACTTACTTAGTATTACCAGTTATTTGAATTTTAAAAGTGTTCATTACTAGACTCATGTTAATACATACTCCAAAGACTTCCTACAAAAAATGAATTCAATAAAATTATAACGTTCGAATATTTCAGCTCAAACAATATACTTGAAATAAATAATAATAATTACGTTAATGTATAAAAGTAATATATTTCGTTACAAAACCAGCTCGATTAATTAATTAGGCTTTCTGTGTGTTGTGGACCTTATAATATTAAAAATAATTTGCATAAAAATAATATTGTTTCTACTACAATGTTTATTGTATTGCCATAAAACTTTGATCTCACGCGGGTTAAATGGCATAATTGGATGAAATCTAAAATGTCTAGGTTATATAGAACAAATTATGCGAATAATGTATGTTATAGTATATTATATGGATATTAACGAGTATTGATATTATTATGAGTAAAATATATAAATTATTTATTTGTTAATATACATAACTTTGTTGTACCTGGCGTTAAGCATTGACAAAGATAATTCACAAGCGAATTATCGTGATTTGTCCTAAATCAATCACTTTTTTAAGATCTCCTTGCTTTTGGTATACAACTACATGAGATTCATGCCACAATAAATGAGTATAGAAATGTGTCATTTGAAAACTTTGAAGCAAGACTTATATCTTTATAGTACAAAACATTGTTATTTATTTCATATACGTACAATTTATTTTAACACTTGTATTATATTATTTTCTTTTATATGAAATTAATATCTGTCAATAAACATGTAAAAAAAATAATTGTTACAATAAAATCCAAAAAATTCAAATAAAAATAATAATTATCATATAACCGAATGATAGAACCAAGTACAATTAATTGGCCTACAAAGAATAAATTTACTATTTTTTAACTTTGTAAATATTTATTTTAATATAGCCGTACCTTTTAACTGCCTCCAATAACGAATAATAATTTAATTTTAATTGTATTATTTTTAACGGACATCATCCATTCTGACCAACAAAATGAATTACAATAAAAAAGAAATTTAATAACCAGATTGTAATAAAAGGGTCTATATATCATAATTTTCCAAATAATAAGAGTGTATCTATATAAAATTAAATTCGACAGCCATGTTTTTTAAATGTAACGGCCAGATCGGAGCTAGTGATGTCCCTAATAGCTTAATTATGTTATAAATGAATTTGTAATGCAACTTTAGAGATCGTTTTGTCAAAATTTATTGTTGGTAGATATTATTATTATATAATGTGTGGTGCTTAAGTTATTATTATTGTGTATATTATTATATAAATGTTAATGGAAGACACATTGAATGTTGTACATAATCCGCTGTTTGTATATTAGTTATGGATACATAATCTGGACATAAAGATATCCGAATTTAATACGAAATTTTGTTTTTATTTCGCTTAAATTATAAGTACAATCTTTTTTATCTACAACAAATAGCATAGTCTTGCCTAACTAACGATAATAACAAAACGATTAATAATAATATTTCTAACTTTTTATTAAGGTAACACTTTATTAAAACATAATTGCAGATTTGGGAAGAATAACAGCATCTAAAATTATTCCATAACTCACTCATATTGAATGATTTAATATAACACTTTGAGAAGAAATCTCTTCAACACGTGGTCCTTGCTTCATGAAAACATAACACATAAAATACGTATAGTAGTGTACTAAAATTCCTTCATTTTTTTATTTGATTATGATTGATGATAACAAACAGATTGTACGCATGAACCCAACGTGAACTTTTCAATTTATTGATTGCACCGACTCGTCCATCACGTAATCTAATATTTGCTCCATAGCCTCAGGATTTTCTTCAGGCACCTAAAATATTAATGTAAGAAATTAATGCGCAAATCTTTTGCGCAATAGCTGTACTCTTTGCGCAAATAAAATCAAAATAGAAGACAAGATCTTTTTCACTTGGGGTAATTATATGAATTTAAAAGTAAATGAAAAATCGTAATTTTATGTTACTATAGCAAATAATAAATATTGTTTTGCATACCCAATGACCGGCTCCAAAGACCCACCAAAAGCTCAACCTCTTCATTTCTTTGTAATACCCATTTCTTGCTCCACGTATTCGCTTTCTTTTGGCCTTAGCAAAGTCTGTAGCCCCGTGCCATTTCAATTTGTGAACCCAGTTAGAAGCACCTAGAAATAATTATATTCAAAGATGTTTTCTTTTACAGTTGAAAAATATATTTTAAATATTTAATTTTAATTATTTAAATGAGCTTACCTCCCAACGGAGTAACGACATCCAGGTTTCCATTATAGATCGCTATCTTCAATTTTGTCTTATCCAACAAGGCTTCTACTGTTGGAAAAGTAAACAAAATTCAAATAAAATATATACATAAGAATATCTACTATATAATTACAGCCTGTATTGTATTTTACTATACTTACAGAAAGAAACTGATGGCACAAGAAAGCTTTTCTTCAAACTATCATAAGCTCCCATTGATAAATATTGCCATTTTATTGTTTGGTTCACCATAGATAAACTAGGTTTCACGTATCGGTTCATCTTTTTTTGTAACTCTTCCAATTCAGGATATGGGCTGGGAGCATACACATTGTTAAAGTTAATTTCTCCCTGCTTATTCAAAGTACTAAACAAAACGTCATCCAAAATGTCCGCTTGGGCATAATCCTCTGTTTCTAAAGCACGAACCAGCTGCTTGGCTACTTTTGAAGAGGATAAATATAAATTTCTATCTATTCCACCCTGAAAAAATGTTTCGAATATTTACAAATAGTAAATAATATTGTATTACCTAAGTGTATGGGTTTCTGAGGGTTCTTACCGACATATGCAAAAATTCTGGCTGCACCAATATACTTTCCTTAGGGTCTACCCAACCACCGCCAATACCGATTCCTTTAAAGTTTATTTTCAAACTCTTTTTCTCGATTGCCTGTAAAATTAAATGACTTGTATTAGATAATAAGATACCTAAATATTTACTTTATTATTTTTCAAACGACACGATACGCATACTGAAAACAGGATACATCCAAATATCACTAAGTTCCTGCCTCCAAATAAAAAAAAAACAAATTGAAACTTTTTTGCATTTAGCAAGAAATGGACAAAATACAAACCGTATGTAAGTAATACGCTAGTCTAGGACATATTTTGCCGCCATAACTTTGACTAAACAAATATGTTGGCGTGTGACGGAATTCTTTGTGTCTCCTGAAGAACATTTTGATAGCTTTTGCCAAATCCATAGCTGGAAATAAGAACAAACATTATGGATGTGAATTATTATCAAATAATTTTATGGATTTTTGTAATTGAGTGATTAACATACCCATATCTCTATCCGTTCTCGCGTACAGTGAACTGTTTGCGACGTAGCTAAATCCAGTACCAACCGGATGATCTATAAACAGCACATTCCTTTCTTTTACCTAAAACATTTAAATAACTTACAATTTAAAACTCGAAGGGTAGTAGTAGTAATAGAAATAAGAATTTCATAAAGCGAATCTTTTCATCATAGGTATGTTTACATCAGGTTCTTAGAAACTGTCAACATTTTTACTTTTATTAACGTTAGGTACTACTTTGTATTAACAGTTATTTTAGTTTATTCGTACTTATGTATTCAAATTCTGTTTCCTAGACTATAGATGAAACGCAATTATGCTATAGGTAGGTATACAAAGTATTTTTCATGTTCATACTTAATACGTATACCTCTAGATATCGGATTATATGCATTTACATACCTACACATTTGCACATTTAAGGAAGGCCCCTTATCGCTAATAGCACATTTTTTCTAAGTTCTAGGCACATTGCAAACTTCAGTATACCTACATTATTTATAGATTTAAATATTTTTTAACATTACTTTTACTTGAAGCTTGCGGCTAAACAATACAGCAAAAATTCGCGTGATTAATTCGCAATCACCAAATATTCTGAACCATAGCGCAGGTTTCGAAAGTTTGTATAAAGTAAATCATTTTAATATTATTAGACAAAATTGAATGATTTTTTGTGCATATAGAGTAGATATACCAAAACTTTTTAAGTTGCATATAATCCAGTCTTTAAACATTATAATCATGATCGCAATTGAGGTCGCCAAACAATTAGCTGAAACTGTATCTTATAAACAAATCTTAATTAATTAGTATCACGCGGCAACTAATTAGGTAGCCCGCGAAACGTCATATCTGTACGGCGCGGCATCGTAAAACCCACGAAATTGTGGTTTCATGGTTTGAAGCACTGTTATGTTTTTAAATATAAAACTGAAAATCTATCTAAGCATATAAGTATTTTGCCAATAGCAAAAAAATAGAGTTGATCATTATCCACATACCCAAGTATGGTTACGTGGCTTCAAATCCATGTGGAAAGGACCCATTTCAGCGAAATTTCCTACACCACTCGCAGCAAATCCTGGTCCACCTTGTATCCAAATAATGAGAGGTTTATGATGCGCATTAACCCTCGTGCCGTTTGCAAAGAAGAACCAATAAAACATGTGTGCTCCTGGACGAACTTGCACGTAACCGTGGACATTGTGCCACTGTTTATTGCTTTTTAAAGCTTTGGTATAAGGATTTTCTGAAAAAGAAAATGTTGAATGAATTTGTATATACGTAACTGATTGTATTGTGGACATTTAGGATGCTTGTAGGTATCAAACTCTCAGGGCTCCATTAGATATACATTGGTCATTTGACCGTATCGTTACCTATAATTAGGTACCAACAAGTATGTACATCTGTGTACAATATACGTAGGTATTTAATTACCTACTTGATTAATAAAAGATTAAAGTTTTTGTTTATAAACAACAGTATTATTATACAGCACCGCTTTTATTTTTCGAACAGTAGAGTTGCAAATATTGTATAATACCCTCCTATTACGATTCATGAGCTCCAGCTTACAGTGCCCCTTCCTTTTTAGGTAATAAGGGGCGAGCCTAACTTGCCATAACGTTTGATGATGAATTTGATAATGTAAAAACATCGATTACTGAATTTGTTGTTGGTACCAGATTGTTTGTTTTTGCGATTTTACTTTTGCCTACTATTGGAACTTTGCGTGAGAACTGGAGATAGTAAAACACCCCTACGTAGGTACTTTTAATAAGTCTTAAAAACATTACGAATTATTTAATGTACTTAATGTAGATAGCATTTACGTATTAGATTCAAATTGCATACCTTCATCCACTGTATCTGCCGTAACACAAATTGCTGTTGCCATCCATATCCATATTAAAAACAATTTCATTTTTATATGATATTTTATAAAACTACACCCACTTTTATCATCCACATGCGCGCTTTAGTGTCACTTGTAAACGATTAACTCGTTTTAAACGCATGCCATGTGGTGATATCATAGTACCTCTGTTCCTCTAATGAATTAATGAGACAAATCAACAAAAAATAGCTAGATATATAATACAGAAGCTGGAGTATATCCGTAGTTTCAGAATTTGTCACGCGCTTCTCATTAGAGAATTAGGGACGTAGGAGAACTATGCTCTACGAAGTATTTTGCACGAAATTTTTATTATAACTGAACCCACAACTAGACTATGAGTAAATATATATAGGTAAAGGTTGTTGCTTGGTATTTTCATTGACTTCTATCTCCCCTCTGAAATTCCACAACATGATATTAACAATGGAAGGTCAGACTAGTAAGCTCTCAACAGTCACCACAAAATAATAGAGCTTGTTAAATTTTTCGCAGACCAAATGCCATTTTTATAGTAGGTACCTAAATGTATATAAATACATTACAATAATAATATTGGGATGCATACCTAACTATTAGATAAAAAGTGTATCTTTTATGGAACAACATTGTTGAAAAATATTAGGAGCTGCTTACCTACTTAAATTAGATACTAGCTGCTGAAAGATTGTGTGGATGCGTCTTATCAACATGTTACTTGAGGTTCAAGGATTTTAATAAATACAGACTTTTAATGAAAAATCGTGTTCTGTATAAATTATTTATTTGAACAACAAATCTATAAACGATCCGAAAATACTTGTAGATCTGTTTGGTTGTTGTTGTTGAGATTTCTTTGGATGTCTGTTCGTGTGAGCATAATTTTCTGGAAACCGAAATGCGGAATTAGGTTTTCTTAGCTGCGACGCTTCTGTAGTAGGCCGGACCGGGGGGTATCCTACAACGTGGCCTAGAGCTCCACCGATGAGACCAAGGTGATAAGCTGCTTGAGGATGGTCTATTGTATCCTCTTTTACTGGTTTAACATAGCCTGCAATAAAGTAATTTCATTAATTCTAAAATTATTGAACACAATAACTTCAAGACCCGGGAATCAAACGTGTTGCGCAAGAGTCACAATTACGACCACTTAAGAGGATTCAAATAATAACACACCTGGATCAGACCTCTGTGGACACTGTTAAAGTTTCTTAATTCTTAATTGGAACGAACGTTGCGTGACTGAACCAGTTAACTGAAACAAATCAACCTTGAACCTTACCTCCTGGATAATAAGGTGGTCTGTACCCATTGGGCCCATAATTGCCCTCAAAGTTGTATGGAGGTCGTGTGGGTCTTGGAGGTCGATGTGGCCTAGAAGGCGGTCTGTTGGCCCCATGGTGATATGTATTCACGTAGTCGTTATTTATGAAATAACGATCATCCTTATCTGATTTTCTTCTTTGGCCAGTTGGAGTCACTAAAAGTATTAAGATACACAATATTTTAACGAAATTCTATCAGATACTTTCCTATTAGGTACTTATTAGTCTAAGCAGTTTGAAGTTTGTAATGGGTGATTTACTAATTTAATAACTATAATTAAATTTAACTTAATATAAATAAAATATGATATCGAATTTTATACTTACGAGAACTAAGGTCTGTTTCATCGTAATCTTCTATTTCTCCACAATCATCTGGATCGTCTTCTTGGGGTTGTTCTTGCAAATCATCTAGAGGGTCCATATATGGTGGTCTACCAGGCCGAAATAGGTGGTGTATCACCCCAAAGGTTCGAGGTTTCTCATCCCAAGTGACCTGACGTCTGTGAGGAGCAATCTTGTTCGTAGGACACAAAGATGGATTAACTGTTACTGCATCCAACTCAATCATGATCGACAATATCTACAAAAAGGGAGAAAATCTCTTAGATAAATGTTAAATACTGAACACTCAAAAAAACACTGATTCTAAATTAGCAACGTACCGATATTAAAATAAATAAATATTTTCCTGATGCGTCCATTTTTTATTATATTAATTTTAAAACTGATTATAATAATTTAGTCTAAACCAACACTTTTCGCTATAGTGTCCAACTCGTATCTGAACGTAGCACTAACAGTTCTGTTACTACACCTTTAGGCTCCCACACAAAGTGAAATGACTCCTTTATGCTTAGGCAATGACCGATCCATTTATAGAAAATATTGAATGTTTTTTTCACAACGGTGTCCCCAAAATACTAAAATGAATGTTCTGAGTATATTTTAAAACAGTAAAGTAATATTTCTTGTTATTTATTATACACTAGATGACTTCTAGGACATGTTTACAAATATGAACGAATTGATCGGGGTTAGCTCTAGTCACCTACCTATATAGGCTCCTCCTTGAGATCTAGATCGTATCGTTTCGGAGTTACTGTTAGTTGCAGTTCACCTTGGCTCATTTGTTAAGCATCAATGAATACGTAAGTATATGTAAACATATCAATCTAAATTACAGACACCCTATTCGTACTTACACATTGCATAGCTAATTACGTAACTACATAACGTACGTACAACAGAGTTCCACAGACAGAGTTTGTAGAGCGTAACGCCGAATGTTAGCAGACCATGTCATATTTACCTACCCTTAGTAGATCGTAAATAGTATACCTACCCTAACAATAATAGAGCTTCACTGAAAATAAAATTACATCATTATCTGCGTATATTTATCTAAGTACCTTCTTATACCTAAGTACATATCTACAGTTCATCCCCATTTTCTATAATAAGGTGAAAGATTAGTGGAGGTAAACTGCGCATTTTCGTATTCTATGCTATTAATGATATTTCGAAATAGAAAAACCCAAAATGCTTAATTCAATTTAACTTCCAGATACATTCATTCAAAGCTGAAACGAGCTTAGATTTTTGCGGTTGTATCTACGTATTCTAAATAAATATCCTAAACCTAGTGCTAACTTTCATTAGGGATGCATTTGCCTTGGTGAAAATTCGTACGTGTTGCAAGAAAAACCAATTTTCATCAAGTACAAGTACCTAACGATACGCGTCGTTAAACTTAACATATAGGTACGTATGTAATTATGCCTTTTTCATAATAACGAGTCCTTACTGGTGCAACAGTCATCAATTAAGCAAGACGTGATTCCCAAGACGTGTTTGCTAAGTTCGGATCCTCGTTTCGTAAATATGTGGGTTGATAATGTTTTGGTGAATTTCTTCATATCATTCAATCATTCAAGGTCGTAATGCCCAATTTGTCCTTTATGGCATATGTTATTTACTTATATGGATTCTGTTTAGTAGGCCAGTTATACCATACAACGATAAATTCAAATAAATAAATCAATAATTGACCATGGCATTTCACTATTTTAACAAAATAGACCTCATAAGACATTAACGCCACCTAATGGACAAGAAAGTTGTTCCTTCTTTCAGGCGGCGCACATGCTGGACGCGTTCTATTACAACATAACTTGAAAAACTACTGTATGGTTTTAAAAAAATTAAACGTTTTCGAAAAAGAATATAGTTTTAGTTAAATGGCTACGGTCGTCCCATCATTATAACAACCATTAACCATATAAAGATAAATAAATAAAAAAATCTTGAACCTCTATAGATTTTTCAACTTTCAACTTTGCCATAAAGTTGAAATTATATTGTAGAAATTAACAACTTGGCGACTGATATTTATTGAGTTGAGTCGAATCGTTATCAATGTCGAATCGTTTTACCACAATATATCATAGTAGGCTGTATGAGATATTATCTATGCCTGTCATAAGAATTCAATAAAAAAATCAGTTTTGACATTTCGCTCAAATCAATGCATTCATTGATCTGAAAATCGCAAAATTTTTATATAAATAATGGCAAAACAACAAGGAAAAATATATTTGGGTTATGAAGATGAGACGATTGGTGACCGAAATCAAACCCTATTGAACTATACAGTGAATAAAATCGGAGGACTGCCCGTAAGTTTATTCAATACTTCCTTCGCACAACAAATTTTTATCGACCACATGTTAATATATTTACTTTTAATAATTTTATTACAGGACTGGCCACCTCTTGAAAATCTACAAATTTCCACGAAATGCCCTCTTTGTGGTCTACATAGACTTCTTGTTATACAATGTTATGCCCCACTTGAGAATTCTATTTACCATCGCACTTTATATGTTTTCGCGTGTATAAATCCTAATTGTTGGATTCAGTCTGAAAGGTAAATGCATTTTAGTAATAATGATACTATCAACCATATATTGAAACAAAGCATCTCACTAGCAAACCTTTGTTCTCATACTATATTTTTATTTTTAGTTGGTTATGTGTAAGAAGCCAGTGCCAAGATAATTCCTCCAAAGAGTCGAGAGCTATTGTAACCCTCCCTAATCCAGATACTACACTATCATGGTGTCAGGGTGCTGATGAATGGGATGAGAATGATAATGATACAGCAAATGGCAATTTTATGAATGTTGACAATGCTCCTAGCCCCAACAATGCTATGCAAAGGTGGGTTATGTTGGTGAACCATTAAAAATTATATTAACTTTACTTCTTGCTATTATCCTCTTGTCTGCTAGTACATAGACAAATACATTGTGTCTCGCTTAGATCTGCGCTTCAGCTTACTATAAATTAAAATGTTCTTCTTAAAAATCTACATAATATTACTCTGCTTTTCAATAGACCTTTTTGCTCAGTGTAAATTATTCACGGTTCACCTACCCAATGTGGATAATGTAATAAGTTATTTTATTATATTTGATAATTAAATGCTTTAAATAGGAATTCCGATGAAGATGAAGAAAGCAATTCTTATGAATTGGAAAATGTGGAACAAGCTTTTGGAAATCTACAAGTTTTTGATGCTCACAATGCGAACATGTCGCCTATACAAGGTAAATACAAAATTGTTACATACACATATTTTCGTGTTTGAGAAATAAAACTCTTTGTAAGATGTGTTATTATTTATTTATTTGTAACAATTACACCTTATAGTACAATAAAGCATTTTGCAAACGTAATAAATGACCGACAAATCAACTTTGATAATGACGAAGAAATGAATCAAAGAATAAAAAATCAATATTTATAACAAAAAGAGAAATAAAATTATTTGTAATTTACATGACTACATGTTACAGGAGCTATGGGTGCAATTGGAGCTCCAGCAGCTGCAGCAGAGTTAGAGGGAGGTGATGAACCAGGGTTGGTCACTGTTGACACACCAACAGCTCCCACCAATGATATCGAGGCCTTACTGCAACAAGTTAGTATACTTTTACATCTTCAAATTGTGCCCTATTTTCTCAATGTTAACCTTTCGTGTGTCTAAACAAGGATCCACACGAGACACAATGTATTTTCTATTCTGTTTCAAATCGTTGCATTCAAGCTGTTAAAGTTAAAGTGAACCTATTATCTTTCATTCAAAATGACCTTATAGTTATAAGGTCATTTTAAAGTTTAATACTTACTCATACTAATTGTTATAATTTCAGACTGCAGAACTGCCTCCAGACTTGAGAAGTCGACTGATGTGTGGACCATTACAATTTGTGCCGAAATATATTTTTGTTGAAGAAGAGTGGAAGAAGTCAATGGGCAATGATGATAGAGCTAATGAATTGCTAAATAAGTATAAAATTGAAAATGGTGAGTACATACAATACAATAAACATTTTATTGTTAGTAGATTAATAATATTATAGAACATTTATTACATAGCATTTTATTTTTTCAGAAATTGAAGTATGTGCTGGTGACCGAGTTGTAGGTGGTGGTGGTTCCGATGAAGAACCTTATGAGGAAGCGGCACCGTTACATGGTGATAGACTGTTCCATGCCTTCATAACACGATTGCGCAATCATCCAGGACAAATACTCAGGTAAATTTACTATAAACCGTGTATGACACAGTATTTAAACATAGATTTCAAAGACTAATCTCAATTATTTTTACAGGTATTCGAGGGAAGAACCCCCTATTCTGGGTGCACCACTGCCAAGTACTGCAACTACCCCAGACACTCCCAATATGCCAACTATTTGCTCACGCTGTGGTGCGAGACTCACCTGTGAGCTACAACTAGTGCCTGAGTTTGCTGAAACTCTCCGCTTGCTACCTACCAACCAGTCTTTAGCACACTTACATTTTCTCTCTGTACTGATATTCACTTGCTCACAAAGTTGCTGGCAATCATCCGATACATTAGTAAAGGAATTTGTTGTCTTTCAACCTGAGGTTGTGTAAATTATGCATTATTTAGACTGTTTTGTTGTTTTTGGCCTTCTAAAGTTGTTAAAATTGCAATATTTACGTTTATGAAAGGTGAGGTAGTGAATATGACATGGTAGACACAAGGCTGGAATAAAGAAGACAATGAAAGGTTTTAGCAATTACATAAATGTTTGCAATAAATGATCACAATTTTACCCGTGACTTAAACTTATATTTATTACTGTACTGTGATCGTGAATTTTCCACTAGGATATAATGATTTCAATATTTATAGATGTTTATGAACATCAATAATAGTTATCTATATATATAAAAGAAAGTCGTGTTAGTTACACCACTTATAACTCAAGAACGGCAGAATAGATTTGGCTGAAAATTGGTAGGGAGGTAGCTTAGAGCCAGGAGACCGACATAGGATACTTTTTAACCAATACTTTTTTTTTACTTTTTACCGAAAATCACGAACGGGGACGGGAATAAATGAGATTACGCGTACGAAGTCGCGGGCAGAAGCTAGTTTAAAATATATAGTGGACTATGTCTAGTCTAAAGTAAGCTTAATATATTTTTTGCTTTATGATATTCACACAAGTTTACTCAATTAATTTGATAGTATGCTAGAGAATCTTTGTAATTAATTTTGTACCATTGCAATTTATTGCTTTATATTGAATTTTCTATGACTATTTACGACACTCGGGAAATTTGCAATAATATTTATTATCATGTATTTCAGTTGGCTTCTTGAAAGCGTCGCATTTAGAGCTTTCTTACAATTTATAGATAATCAAGTAATCTCTAGTATGGCATTTTATAATTATAGTATGTATATTAAAATATCCTTAAATGTCCATGAATAACTGCCAGGTAGAAGTAAGAGTATTAAAGGAGAGTAAAAGTTAAGAAAATATGTGCTTTCACTATGGTAGGTATTTATTATTATCAGACTACTGTTTGGCTGTAACACATCCTTATGTCACATCGTATTGCCGCTTTAAAATTCAAACTATATGTTAATCTAAATATGGTTTTGAAAAAGAAGAAACTTGAATTGTTTAAAAAATCATAAATTATATAAAGAAAGATAAGTTTATAAGTTATATATATGATTGTTTTATAATACTGTCAGTACCTACTCTATAAGAGTGTTAAGTATCTCTATACTTTATAAAATAAAATTTACATCTAAACGACAAATATGTCACATAAACATAATGTGTTTGCTAGTTTAGAGAAAAAAGCCTTGTTATTCAAGAATGCTCAATGGGTACATAATATATTATGTATTGCATTGTTAGATGTTATCCTAAATAATTGGTAATAATTACTCTTTAAGTATTTACTAATTAAATATGTAGCATTAAAAATTTATCTGTTTTCCGATCCATTAAACGATATTGCCTATAAAAATGTCAATCACTGTAGTTTGTGGAAAATAAAATGTGTAAGTTATATCGGTTTTTATTTTTAATATTCTGCCCCTCATTCCACCCCTGCAATAATAGCAATAAGCGAGGATAAACTGGTATGTTATTTAGATTGTCTCCTTTCTCAAGTGTTCTTAAATACGTCTGCCGAGTAAGGGATCAAGGTTGGATTCCCGGATTGGGCAAAATATTAGGTTTTTCGACATTTGTAAAAAAAATCGTAATAATAGCACGGTGTCTGGAATTGCGTACGGCACCTTGCTCCAAGAGTATAATAAGTATACCTAGGGGAACCTTGCTCCTAGGAGACAAAAGGCGTAACAAATGTTGATATATTTATCAAATACCTCTTCAAAAAAGTAAGTCCATTAGTTGCCGCTGCCGAATAGTTAGTTACGACCAAGACCAATAATAATTATAAAAAAGATCAAAGTGCTTAGACGCAAGATTTGATATAACTAAATCGATACCAAAACGATACATTTATCGGGAAATTTTATAGCTATTTTATTTTTCTCTAAATCATTCACAAATCATTGCATAATTATATTAAAAAAGTAAAAAATAACAAAAATCAATATATTTTTTTTCATTTAGTCGATTATGAAAACATAGATAACAAATGGAAGTGGTAACGGAAGCCACATTTTCTACAATATTTTATCTGTGCATCCGTCTTCCATAAATGAATCGGTGCGGCGAGGCGGCGGCATAGAAAGACTATCAATTTTCGTGAGTCGAACAGTGAATCTAGTCTAAAAGTTAAGGTTTGTTGCATTTCTTCGTGTGACATTTTTACGACCCCGTGCAAATATACACTTTTAAACATGTCTGGCGAAGCACCTGTACCTCCTCCCGTTTTATGGGCCCAGCGCAAAGAAGACGTTTTTCTCACGTTTAGCATCGAATCTAAAAACCCTACGATTAAAATAGAAAAGGATTCAGTTTACTTCAAAGGTGTGAATGCTTCAGACAATAAAGTACACGAGGTTACGATATCGTTATATGATGCTGTGATTCCTGAAACAAGCGCCTACGTAAATAAAGGAAGATGCATAGAAATGATTCTTCGCAAAGAAAAGAAAGACGCTTCCTACTGGCCTTCATTAACAAAGGATAAGAAAAAACCTCATTACCTCAAGGTAGACTTCAATAAGTGGAAAGACGAAGATGATGAAGATGACAATGAGAATGGTGGAGGCAACTCATATGATATAGAAGAAATGCTACGCTCAATGGGCGGCGGTGGAGGTGACAAGGCTGACAAACCCTCATTTGATGACTTAGAAACAGATTCCGATGATGAAAATCTACCAGATCTTGAATAACATCCCCGGAGTGATAAAACTTATATTTAACACATGAAAAGTACATTATGTATAAGGTTTTTACAGTTATAATAAAATCATTGATAAAATGAACAGGTTACATTCATTTTAGTTACTGACCTGTGCCTCTGTAACACCCTACTTTAAATCGAATAAGCGAGTTCCAAAACTGTAGTTAGAAAATATTTAATTTAAATATATTCAAGAGGAGTGAAGTACTAAATTGTTTTTCAATAAGCCCTTTAAACACCAATTCACCTCCATAGAGTTGTAAGGTCTTAAAATAGACATCCTCTAGTTTCCATTGAGTATCTGTGACTAGCTGCAAATAACACTTCTACATTTTTCTTATACAAATACTGGTTTCCTGTAGATTACAAAAAAAAACTAGACAAATAATCAATGGACAAATAGAGAAAAATTGAGTAGGTACCTACACATACCAGTAATCTTCACTATTCTAGTATTTTTATAGCCTCAATATAAGGAAAACAGTAAAGATTTTATGTACCTAATTTAAAAAATAATTAAAAATATTTTCAGTAAAAACATAATTTCCTATGTATTGTCCTCAAAGTAATGAATAATAAAAAACAAATAGCAAGCCTTAGTTACAACGACTTTGTCTACTTATGACCTCCCATGAACCATATCCAACAACCCCTGTAAAAAGCATGATAGGATGAAGTTGACCCAAGTCTGTACAATGGCATATTTTTAGGCTCTAGAATATTCCATTGGTACTGTGGTTTGGTCGATAATATTGTGGTTAGATAATAAATGACGCTTAGCAATGCTTTGTCTGTGAATGAACATAATTAAGCACCAACAGTTGCTATGTAGTTGCTAAGCAATTTATTCCTAATTTTTTATAGTAGGTAGGTACAACCTACATTAACTTGGGAACTTTGGCCACTGTACCGACTGGTACTGATCCTATAAATTAAACAACTAAAAATTAATAGGTATGGTCATCTGTACCTTACCTATTTAATTATGATAAAACTATCTACAAGTTTTCTTTCTCATAAAAAAGATTTCCCGTTAATTAGATTCTTATTTTCAGTGAAGTATCTAATGTTGCTTATATTCTTCGTATTAATTTATTTTGCCACATGTCCAATGGTGACTTGGATGAGAATAAAATACTCGTCAGTTGTTACCGAAAATACAATTGAATGCTGATTCAAATATTTAAAATAGGTACTTTTCCCAAACTAATTCAAAATACATCGTCCAACAATACCTACGCACTTAACTGCCGTGTATTAAACAGTTAAAGAACATACACTAAATTGAACTCTATAGTCATTAGCGTTTAGATACATAGGAGTGTCCATTCAGTGCCTTTAGCGGCTTCAGTGTGACGAAATAACAATGGGGTTGTTGAGTAGGTACACTAGCAACAGAACGGAAGCCATATTAGGAACTTTTACCTACTCATTAATTTATAAGGTCCGGGAATATCTTGGTAAACTGTAATTAAATTCGTTTGAAAGCTATATTTATCACACTACAAAAAACTGTTCTTCCGGATCACAGATTTTGATCCGGAACACCAGTTTGTGGATTCAGAATTACAAGAATCGTTTCACGTGGTAAACGAACCTGCGATTGTGTAGCAGCCAGTCGCACTGTGTAGTCCTAAGCACAAAAGTTGACATCGCAAGAATTCCAAATGGATTTTGTTAGGACTAGGTAGTGCTCTCAATGTAGTAAACTTCACACGATACCTACTATGGTTTTGAACCAACTCATCAATTTCATAGAAACCCAATTAAATATTTTAACATTATGATGCGCTCCTTATGAAAAAATAGATAGCAATCTTTTTTATAATAACTATCGTGAGACATACTAAATTAAGTAAAATCGCGGGTTACTCACGTGAATATACTCAGAAAAGCTCTACTAGATTCAAACCACAGAGGGGTTCTTCCTCGCACGGGCCTGCGGATAGCGAGCAATGGTAGCTCGTTGCCCGAGCGGGTCGCGGTCCGCGCGCGCGCTTTAATGAGCCATCAGACCACCACAGATGGGTCTCAATAGGGTACGGCTTAAAGGTGCTGAGCCGCGGAGAGTCCTCCGAGCCTCGGCAACCCGTTAACTGTAACGGGTTACCGAGGCTCGCAGTGCAGGAGTAGGAACGAGGTGGTTTTAGTCAGTAAGAATCTGACACTCCCTCTCGCCTCACCCGGGTGCAAGAAGTTATTGGAGGGGACACCCCTCAAAAAGCCTATTTATTAAAAATAAATAAATCTTAAGAAATTGATGATAGAACTTTATTTAGTTTTTTCAGAAACTGTTACAGTAACACTGTATAAATGAAATTGTTGTCCATGTCTTCGAATATTCAATGTTATAGTCATGCAGTAAATAAGTCTATTGAGGCTCTCACATTTCAATATGTAAGCTGACCCTTGACCAGGACTGAAAATCGGCGCGCCATAACTTTGACAATCAAACATAAAATACGACGATTTAATCCTTCCAAATGCCAAATTTTTAGTTGGACTAGTAAGTATCCCAAGTTGATTCTTCTCAAAGAAATATGATAACGCCTTACTCAAATTAAAACGATCAGGATATATGTTGTAAACAAAGCCAAAAATATTTTTTCAAACTTAAGTGTAAATTGAAACGGATACATTTCTTCTAATTTAGTATCTAAATCCTCAAAAGTAACTTCGTGATTAGGAGCCGAGCCAACCTTAGCAGCACACTTTTTATGGTAAGCGTGTCCGCCATAAACAATTCCGTCGAGGAATCCACTCGTCCAAGCGCTAATGTCACAGGCCTGGGTCATGCCAATAGCCACGACACTAGTTGCCAGGTACTGTTTACCGCGATGTTCTTCCTCAAACCGTTTATCCAGTGGATGTATTGTCCCCCACAATGAATACAGATCGCCCGGAAATTCGATATCCCAATCTTTCCACATTGTTTTTGGTGTTTTTCTGTCAAAGCCCAAGTCATTTACAGCAAGCATTCGAGACCATGGTACCTCTGGGATATTTAGCCAATACATTTTCTCGTCCACTAAGGGGCGCACTTTTCTTCGTTTCATATACGGTAAGTTAGGATTTTCGTCGGGCCTGAAGAGAGGACTTAGTCTATAATTCAAAGCTGAATGACGTGGAGCAGTTTTCACTGAAGTCAATTCGAATGTATAAAATTCAGGATCATCAGCTTGCTTTCCTGGTAACACTTTCCTTATTCGCCTAATAAGTGCTTCCATAGAACGGTATAACGTCCAAGACGCTACTTCATTTCCTTTTCTAGAAGGTTTCTCTTCTCCTTGCGTATCTTTTTCTCTGAATTCTTCACTAGGCGGCGGGTAGGGGTCAAAGAGATGATAAAATCCTTCTGTTTGGCATATTACTAAACTAAATTGAGGAAATCTTATAATAACGTAACGTAATCTTTTCAATACGGCTTTTAAATATTGCTCAAGTCTTTTCTCTGGATTTTCGTTGACAACTATAATTTTCTTGATGTTGATATTTATGAATTTTCCATCCAATATTACGTTTTTAATTACCCTCTTTTCGCAAACACTCAAATTTGTAGCTTTTTCGTATATTTCTAAACCTTTTTCTATACAAACATCAACCATGACATGGTCCCAGGTTCTGATAGGATGCATAGCGGCCATTAGCATTGCGATGAGGCTAACGAAATGACAAGACTTCACATCTGTACTTGGTTTTCTTTGATTCAGTGACGTAGTTCCTTCTATTCGGTACACGCCGTCTACCAATTGATACCCAACCGCTGTTTGGCTTTTCATTTCTTTTACGTCTAATCTTCGGCTTTCGGTATCCATCTCAGAAGCTAAAACTGTTTGTTTAGATTTCTTCGACTTAGGTCTACCAGTAGAAAAGTCATGATCTTCAGGTAATGTAGTGCGAGCCTCTTTTAGGAGTCTTCTAACTAGTATTCTACTGAGGATAAATTGTTGGTCATCTGATCCTCCATCCTTGTTGTAATTTATTCTGTAAATAGAATAAGGTAGGTAAATATCGGATCCGGGTATGTTCTTAATGTGTAATCAGCCGTCGAAAGACTGCCAACAGCATCTTAACTCCTAAATGTCTAATAGATTACTAAATTCTGGCAACTACGGTTGTCAAGTCACCCAATTTAAATGATAAAAAAATAACACAATAACATCTACCTGCTCACGAGGTCATGTAGCGTGCGGAATCGCAAAAAGCATGCTTTTCCGTTACTGCCGGCTTCGTCTCTGAGACCCATTGCGTTACAAGGACTGCCATCGAAAAGATAATACAGTCCATTTCTTTTAAAAAATGCACAACTATAAGAGGCCGTAGTAACCATGCCCCTGTCAAATTTTGGGAAGAATTTCCGAGCCAACACATTTTCCATCTGCCAGCTAGCACCTTCTCCAACAACATCCACATTCGCATGATACGCCTGAAAAAAAAATCTGTTATTACCTAATCATAACATAACATCACGCCTTTTATCCCCGAAGGAGTGCACATTATACCACTGTACAATGTTACGTTAACACCCACTTTTCAGTATTTATGTTAAGAGTATAATAGGGGTAGGTGGTGAACCTATTGCCATATGCCGGGCACAATTCCGGACTCCGTGCAACTACTGAGAATATTTAAAAAACCCAGTAATACTTTGCCCGACCCGGGACCGAACCCGAGAACCCCTAGCCCGGCAGTCGCACTTACGACCACTCGGCCAACGAGGCTGTCCTTGTTACCTAATCATAAATCATATAAACTTTTGTTATGAAGAAATAAACACAGACCTGATGTCCAAGTGCAATTTTAGGTATAATATGAACAGGTGCTAGTTGAAACTTCTGCTGTTTATTTTCATAAAGCCTCAAGGCTGTTTCTACGACAAAATTCACAATACCGGGCGTCCATGTACTGATAGAGTACTTGTAAGATGTTACTATTGCCATGATTGCTCCAAACGGCAACCTATCAATAGATTCGATGTCACCCGCATCC